ACTGATGGAATTTTTCTGACAAGAGTATGATATTTCAATGCTGCATAACAAAGAGAAATGGCGCAACATAACATGATGGAAAAAAGCTCACGAAATAAGGCGGAAGTAACTGGGCAACAGAAGAAGAGAGATTAAAATAGCTGACTGACGTGATGTGTCAAGTCCTAATAGCAGCAAATGCGACATAACAGTGATTAGGTGATTTTAGTGTTCGGGAATTGATCTTATTTGGCACCATATCAGTGTGCCAAATAAAAACGCAGTTTGGCTCGAGAGTTGCCTGCATCCGGGTGGTTTATGGAAATAGCAGTTTTAAAACTTCCTCTTATGGTCTGTTATGTACGTAGTAACTTCTAGGTAATTTCGGAAGAAAAATGATTAAATAGTAAAAACCAGTTATTGAAAGGACGATACAAATCAATTTGCGCTCGGTTTACTGAAGTGCGTTGTAGAGTTCGTTGAATGTCACCAGAAACAACCTAGTTATCCAGTTTTTATTCAACTTTTCACTATTAGCTACTTGATAAATAATGATGTGAATATCACCAAGTAGGAATGAGAAACATGTGGGAAGAGAGAATACTGGTTTCTAGTGAACAAGGATTTTTGAAAATGTGCTGGACTAGCAAACTTTCAAAACTTTCGAAAAGCAATGAAGATATTGCTGTATAATTGCTAATACATGCAGGATCAGTTCCCTCTGCAATTTCCTTCCCTTTTTTGCATTAGTTTGCAGCGCAGTCCAAAGACACTAAAGGTTTTTGCGCATGATGATTTCTTTCTTGATCGAAGTGTAGTAGTACTGTTCATTGAAAAGTACACAAATGACTATAAGATTAATTAATAAGGTCAAGCAAACAAACCTCCGCAACGCTAACTTTGTATTTGCTGGACGCACATAGCAGTGACAACCTCCCTGGTACCGAGCAGAATGTTTGGGCTGATGTTGAAGGCGAAACATTCGTCAGTAAAACTGGCAAGCTAGATAACGAACCTAAATGAACATATCGAAACTTTTGGAATTGTCGGTTCCATTTTCCCACTTCGAAAAATATGTGGAAGTGGTTTTGGCACACCCTCCGTGTCCAATTCTGTCATAAAAATATTCTGTCGAAATTACTCGATTTTTGTCGTCATGTTGAAAAGTGTTTTATATTCAAATTACTTTATGGACTATTAGGAAGACCTCATGTGGGCGTAAATCGATATTTCATTTCAAATGAAATCTAAAAAGATTCTTTGTCTCTTCACATCTACTTCTTAATCTGAAACTGCCAAAAGTTTTGCAATGAAGTGTTAACAAGGAAAAGTGCTTACTGAAAAGGTTATATTTACTAGAATCACCAAGGTCTTCATTGCATTCGTCACCAGTTGATCCATGCGAACTAAGCGCTGCAGGAATACACTATAATAATCCAATGAAAGAAGATTACTCGGTAAATTAATATATTTCAGATTTCACAGCAAAAAAATCACTATTCTATGTAAAAATGAATCTGATTCAGGAAAACTAATTAGCAGTGTCCTCGTTGAATGAACCTTTATTTTTCTTTTCGGATGCTGAGAAAATTTTGGAATGCTGAAGAGTTTTTAAAGAATTTCTATAAGTGTGTGGAACAACTTACAGAGTTCTTCAAGGTGGCTTACCGCTAACTGCAAAATAAAATCAAAAAAAGTATTAGTACACGCATTAAATTTTCTATTTCTCTTATGTTATAGGTGTAGAAGTTATCATAATTTCCGCCGTTCAAATCTACATATGTTTCATGAATAAATATTCTAATTTGAGCAAATTTTAGGACTCGAAGTTTGTTGCAAAACATCTTCGTGATAATTATTATACAGAAGTAGAATATTTTAAAACAACAAGTGTAGATTACTGAAGAACTCTGTTCACTTCACGCTTACATCAAAGGAACAAAACATTAACCAAGATAATTCCAACCTGGCCAAAGATGCAATTCGTGGTCTTGTCAAGCGATATCAGGATCCTTTCATTTTTCACATTTTCACTTTCATAGTTATTTTGGTCAGATAGAACTGGCAATAGATTAAGTAGTTTTCCTTTAATTATTCTTGCCCGTTTCGAGCAAACCACTGAACTACTATTATCATACGCTTGTGCACTACCAGGCCGTTTCCGCTCCAGGCTTTTTTTCTCAAGTAACAGCGTCCCAATTCGATCAATCTGTGCACCCGCAGTTTGTCGACCAAATAAGGTTGTCTTGTTGGCTTGCTTATGCGCAGATTGAAGCATCGTCTGCTTGAATACATTCAAAGTCCACTATAAAAACCAATATAAAGTCTGACAAATACAGCTGCAAACTAAAATAATATATTCATTACAAAACATTTGACCCAAGCATTCTCCTATATAATAAAGGGATATTATTCAGATGAAAAGATGATACTAACTATATTCGCTTACCATAAAAAAGTAAGGCACATCCCGATCAGAAAGATTTTTAGTATCATCAAATGCATGCAGGAACCCATCACGAATGCAATTCACTGAAATAATTTTCTTAATAAAGTCATTTCCAATTTAGCTTACATGAGAACATTAAAAAAGGGAAGTAGACAAAACGCATCGGCATAAAAATTCCGAGAAAGCAAACTCCTGAATTTGGTGGTATTGATAAGATGTGGAATTCACAAGTCGAAAGTTACTATATTGTTAAAAAATTAAAAAAAAAAGGGAAAGTGTATCAAGTGGCTGCGGACACGACCAGGATATTGTTTTCTCAAAGTTCAAAAAAAAGTAGGCTAAGAAATCAATTATAATCATGGAATCGGCTAATATGAAACTAAAAGAGCAACACAAGACGTGGTATCATGGATATATGAGCAAAAGGCTCCTTTTTGGGAACACACGAAAGTTTTAATCTGACACAGCAACAGTAGCATGGAACCAGTAAATAAAATCGTCTTCATGTCTCCTCCGTAAATGTAACAATGATTTTAAGGATAGCTTTCGATGTAACATGTGAAACCAGAACGAACTGAAGATCAGAACAATTAAAAAAGAAATACAAATAAAAGTTCTGCTTAAAATCATAGAAGCCAAGATAATGCCATGTAAAAATAATAGTTGCGTGAATTTCAGTACATCTAAAAATTCAGCATTATAGAGAAGAAAGTGTGTCAGACATAAATACTGTAGTGCCGATTTAGCTTTAGCTCCTATGGTCTAGTGAAGAGCACTTTCATTTTACTTACATATAAGTTATAAATACAACGATTTCTCTACACTTAGAAGAGATAATGCATAAAACAACGAAAAAAGGAAAATGGAAGAGTTAGATCAGTTAAAAGTGAAATGGAAAAAAGTGAAAATATATGGAAATATGAAAAAGAAAGATAACTGGAGATGTAATTATGGGTTAAATAGTACTCTTCGGGTACTATATTTCATCTACTCATTTATTTTCACGTCTCAACGTAGAAAAAGTAACTTGAATAGGGAAATAACAACGTTATGGTTCTTGCCGATAAACCTATTCATTAATTTAGAGTGATATATTATGTTTACATTTGCACATGTAGAGAAAAATTCCTGTTATTACTACTGAATGGAGAGAAATGTATCGGGATTCTCCTGTCACCGTCTGAAATGATATTCATACATTTAGGTCATGAAAGGACAACAGATGAACGCATACAGTGCTTCCTGCACACGTGTTAATTTCTGGCATCCTGAAGCTGGATGGTTGAGATACTGAGCAAAAGGACAGGCGAATGTGTGCAGTCTGAAGTGAAGAAACGCCACTGGGGCTCACAATTCAATTCACATTATTTACAAACACAGACGACATACCGTCTCACCAAACTGTAATCGACCAGTCATATCAATAACACAGTAACTGGATAAATTTGACGGAATGACCAGTTCAGATCCAGTAAGTTTGCTTTATTCAACTGAACAGCAACGATACTTTTTTTCCATCACTTCCTTAAAGCTGACACGATACATGGGATATGAGAATACTATTGCTTTTGTTATTGTTTGTTAATACTTTGATACAAATACAATTTTCAACGTTACTTCCTGCCAGGATAATAATGGAAAATCGCAGACATTGTTGCTCATTAACAAAACTTATGCTTATCTAAAACCAGCCCAATTTTTAATCACCAAGGCTTACTCGACTACAATGTATATCAAAGTGACCAAACGGAGACGAAAGAAGCATTACCATTGGTTTACCTCATTCAAGTGTATCTCATTCATGTTCAAGTTTTAAACACTGGAAATTTCCAGAAGAAACGAAGTATTACTGAAGTTGTAAAGTTTTTTACACTCCATTTTGTCATTTTAGTACTATTTTGGTATCTGTATTAGGAAAAATCATCCTAGCACTACAGTCCTAACTAGGTCAGATTCGGGCTCAAACCATTTATCCATTTAGTTTTATCCAGTACTAGATAGTTTCCAAAAATATTGGAAACCTTAATCTTTATAATTACATCCACGAAATCCTTCGCATTTTATAAATTCTTAACCTCTAAAATATACTGTAATCTCACGTGTAAAGAGGCGAATAAAAGTTCATTTGTAAACGGATGACACTTACACATATACAATCACAAAGAAATAATAGTTCTGTTGAAAATGTCTCTTTAAGTGTGAATCAGAAAGATTTTTTCGAAAGAACTTTTGTTTTCTATTCCTGTATCATGATTTAAAGAATGAAAGTTATATATACCTTTCATTGAACACTTGTCCTATTTCATTTGGACCCTTGAATAATATATTATAATAAAAAAGAATAAAATGTCAGGAATTACAAAAGAAGCAAATATGCTGTCCGCCAATGAAATTATGCCTGAAAGATCATAAATCGATGATAAGATGATGAATGATACAGTGATTAACGAGAATGCAAGCAAGCCTCAGCATCTAGTTGCTTTAATAACATAAATAGAAAATTAAAAAAACAAAGATACAGTAGAAGATGTTTTAGTTCAGTGTGCTTGGAATACTCAACTAGCAGCTACAGTTATGATTTGTAGTCGTCGGCAAACACAATGATGGATGGTTCACTCAAGTAAGCGTAGGTTAGAGGTACAGCAATCAGACCACTGCAAATGGCCACGATCGATACTGTTCCGGTATCCCTGCTACTCCTACTTCTGCTCCTGCAGATACAAATTCTTCCTACGGCACTGTTCAATGTCATACTCATCACCTCCACCCACTGTGACATAAGCATTCCGCCACACACACACACACACAGGTAGACACAGACACAGACATATGCATAGAAGGCCTGAGGCGGTCTACCCCTCTTTCATCATCCGCACTTGCTTATGTTTGCACACATACAGTGCAGACCGTTTTCGCTTTGTTTTTACCTAGCTGTGAGTCGATTTCGCAACTTTTATCGAGGCTATATGCTGGATGCAGGTAGTACTTCATTAGTATAGCTAGTATTCTCTCACTTGCCCTTAATTCTCTTTCCTTTGATGCTCGTTGTAATGTACGGAAGAAAGATAACTAGTCATTACAATGACGATGCATCTATGAAATGAAATAGCGGTTCGACTTTGCATGTGTACAGAAGTTGTCTGCTTTGAACTCTCGGAATGGGTTGTCTAATCTAGCTCCATATCCCACACTGCAAGAAGAACAAAGGCCTCTATCTACAACTAGTATTCTGCATGCTGAACTGAAGAAGTGACATGAATATGAGCTGTCAAATAAATCATCTCCACTGGGCTAATTATTCACTTCTTATCACCAACCTTTTTTGAACGATTAAGCAAGCAGTGAAGCCGAATGTGAAAAGATTGAAGACTGAAAATTGAATCGGAGATTCGATATCAAAGATAACGCGAATGACCAATGTTCAAAGTAAGATAACATTTAAACATGAGAAAGCAAGAGGAAATTGACAACTGTCTCTCTTTTGGTGTGGGACTTCGTTTTCCCTCAGTTCTTTATGAGTAGCGAAACTGCTAACAATTTACTAGTAATGCAAAAGCTAAAAAAACTTTCGATGTATTCTCTACAATATCAGATCTTGAACACATACTTCTCGGTTTTACAGAAATACCACCGTTAATGATCACTTTAAATTTTCATATCTTAGGTAAAACACTCTTAACTGTAATGGACATTTTATAACAAAATAGAATGATTCCGGCATTTATTTGGAAAATAGCTTTTATTTGAAAAAAAGAATTTGGAAAAAAAAAACAAAAATATATGTGGGGAGAGACACAAATTTTAATCGGTCCTTTAATCTGCAAAATACAACTTACTAGAAAAATATATCCGCATTTTAAGTTCAAATGAATATTTTTGCTTGCACTTTATTAAAACAAAAAATTAGATAGGAGGTAGGAAGAAACTTCACTTGAGTGGTGAATGTTATGGTGAACAATAGGGAGCTCAGATAAAATCATTTCGAAAGTAAACACCACTAATTAAATCATTTGTGTTGGCCAGTGAATCACTCCAAATGCAATGGTATAATGAAAGCATAATAGCTTTAAAATCTAGTGCAAGAATGGAAATGGAAATTTGTTTTCTCTCTTGACTAAATTTTTCGTTGTTCATCCCTGGTATTATGATTTCTTGATTTTTCTGTATTTATTTAAATTTGAGCAGTGATTCGTTTCATATTATGCTATTTTCTTTTAACACCAAATGATTTTACCATTGCTTAAAACTTTTTCCATATGTTCTGTTCGTATAAAACCGCACGACAGTTTCGAGGTCCTGTCATCATTCAAAAAATGTAATAACCAAGTGTTTATATTTAATTTATGCACTTTGCATGGATGGCAAGAAGCACAAATGTAATACTGAATTTAAAAATTAAGAACACACTTTAAGCGTGGAAACACAAAACTCGTGCATTTTTCGTAGACGCGAAAAAGAATCAAAGGTTTCAAAAACAACTCCAAATTTTATGTGGCAACTAATAACTTTAACAATAGCTCTAACGCCAATATTTTGCTGTCGTAGCATTAACTTCTTCTAGGCATCCGTTGAAGAATATTGCATCACTCTTTTGATCCGCTTTGAATTTACCTGCTGTTTTCATTGCTACCTTTGCTGTAAATAAAAACCAGCTATAAATTTTGTCTCTGAAACCGGCATGATTTCGAAGCAATATCAAACCTGATTTTCTAGGTTACTAAAAGCTGCATGATTTGTCTGTCTTTTGTGTACAGCTACTTCAGTATGACGTATTCTGCATATTCCACATTCATTATATTTATATTCCGCGGAATAATAAAATTTTCGATTCCCTGAAATGCACATGCAGCAAACTTTTCTTTCATTACTACTTTCAATTCTCAGGAATCCTTATCAGAGCAATGCGTGTTTGTGCAATATTGAATTGCTCTCAAAAAGCAATGTCCTATTTTTTGGATAGGTAAATTACATAAAGCAGGCATTGCTACACGTTATTTACCATGGAACAGCATTTTCCCGAAACCGCAGTAAAATATTAAATAGCGAAGGGATATCCATTATTCAACTTTCCTTATTGTCATTGGTTTCAAACAGGAAACTCTAATAAAAATTGAAATTAATTGTTGAAATGAAAGAAGAAAATAACAGATTCACTAATTTATTATGTATTTGCACACAAGGACTCAACGAACAGACCGTAAGCACCAATTTTGGTTTTTAATACAACAGTAGCTTGACAGGAAAGAGCATAACAATCGTTCAAAATTAGCATCTTCTTACAATTTAATGACTACGCTTTAATGAAGCACTGCTTTTAATTCCTCTCTGTTTCCTACTGCTAGAAACTTCTCACACTTCTTTCTTTCTGTCACTCGTCATACTTCACACATCATGATTTATCCTTTTCGTACCTTTCCTGTGTCCAATTTCATGGCGGGTCCAGGCAGAGTGGTACGAAATACATCAGTGTTGCACACTTTTCATCAACCCTATTTCAGTTTTCGTTAATTCGTGGATGACAGTGGTTGAGGTTCTTGAGTTCGGTTTGTAGTGTCACTTTTGTATGACTAGTAACTGCTAGGGGGCTGGAAGGGACCGAGTTATGCTCTTTCAACTGAGCGTAGAAGAAGTTCAGAGGTGATGCTGTGTTTACCTTTCCATTCCATCAGTACTACTTTTTAAAGTAGAAAATTCTTTTCTTTCCTCTTCAAATTTTGTAGGTTTATTGTTAACCATACTATGCTATCATACTGACAACTGGTTAGAGAGATTTAAGTACTTTTGTTGTGCTTTAAAAATTATTACTGAGATTGTTCGTGCTTTCGGTGTCATCCTATTGTTGTCGCCGAGATAATAAATGAGTTCTGGACGAACTTATCCTCTTTATATTCTCTTACAAGAGGCCTTGTTTTTTTAAGATTTTCTTTTGTCTTAATAAGAGAAAAGAAATTGATGAAGGTTCCTATCTCTTCTTCTCAGTACAACGTATTACTGTTTAGTGACACTGAACATTTTATCTTTCCTATGGAACATCAATATAGTTTTTTTAGTAGTGATTCGAGTTGCTCTTCTACTGATTGATTTTGATTGCAAATGTTGGTGGCTAAAAGATTGACTGTATGCGTTGATTAGAGTAACACTTACTCTGTTTGCAACTAGTCTGTTAACGTCACGGACATCTCTTCATGCAGAATAGTCTTTTAATTATAGAACCTTTGCGTTTTATAACCGAAACTCATCCAATCATTAATCTGACTGCATGGTGGGTTAAAAATAGTAATAATGAACTTAATTAAATTTGCAGACACTTTGAAGTGGCAGTACAACAATTTACATAATGGACAGTAAAAAAATAAACGATGCAACTTTATCACATAATAGGATAACGACTGGGAATCTTTTGTTGAATGTTAATGAAGCTCTTCAAGAAGCTCAGGAAATGATGATCGATGGGAAACCACGTGAACGTCATTTGGAACACTTGCTAGAAGAATCGACAACTGTCGAAGTATTTATTTTTACACTTGTTTTATTATTCCCATTGCATATTTTCATTATGGATCCTTTATGTTTATTTTGCAGCTTTGCTGTGAATATAACTGTATAGTTTTGGTTGTACGTATTTCTTGAATCGGTATTTTTTTCTCACTGTTTTGGTATATGCGAAGCTATATGGAAAGTTAGTAAATATTTGTAACCATATAAAGGTTATTAACTTGTCAGTTCTTATATAACTATAAAATTAGATCTATTAAAGCCGTGAAGTCCCCATTTTCCGAGACCTTAAATTTCTAAAATTTCAAGGTAGTGAAAACCGGAAGACACGGAGATCCTATTGAAATTGTTGTCACTCGGAGTACTGTTACTTCTCAACCCAATACAGATGACGAAGGTGACGGTGAGTTATTTCTAAATCATATGCTACAGTAATTAAAGTGTCTTACGGTGTTTTCATGTCAAGATGTAGTTGTTTGATTTATGTTTCTTTAAGGAGCTTTTTCAGAGAGTGATTCAGAATCACTTTTGCCGTCACAAACTATGTCCAGTTCTCTTTCTCACAGTTACACTTATAGTGGAGAAGGAAGTTCCGATGAAGTTCTGTCTCGTTGTACAAATGTTCATTATCGTCGAAAACGTGGTGATAATTGGCGCTTAGATGATGGTTTGAAAGGCGAAGATGATGGACATTTTGAGGTAATAATGTTTCTCTAGGAAATAATACAAATATAAATCAAAAGTCGATGGGAAATAAATTGGGTGTGACAGTTATTGTTCTTTACTTCTAACGTTTTCCTTGATTACTTAAATCTGTACTGAGTTCATATGAATCAGAATTTGACTTTCATATTTGTAGGTTGAGGTAAAAGCAGAGTATGGTCAGGATGACGATGGAGAACCTTTCGTGAAAAAGGTATTAAAAGTGAAATTTCCAGCATCCATTTTTAGGTTTTGCGCCACCAACAAATTTTTTCATTGTCTACAATGAAATCTCTAACGTTTCGACTTTAATAAGAAAATTCTTATAAAAATATAATTTATAGTACCTCTTCAGTGTAATCTTTTTTTAGAATTTTTCGTAACATTGATAGTCCATGTTTGTTATTTCTCTGTTTAATCGCTTTCATATGCTTTTCTACATGTGCCAGATTTCTCTAATAACTCAACGCATTTTCCTTGTATTCTGGCACTAATGCTTCATTCTAGAACTATAGAGCTGCTAATACTTCCAGTTCAATTTTGAATTATTTTTTTAACATTTCAAAATGATATTAGTTGGATTTACAGTCTTGGGAAGCGACTTGGCGCGTACAAAAATTCGAATATTTACCAGAATGGCTTCAAGATAACGAATATTTGAGGCACGGACATCGGCCACCTTTGCCAAGCTTTGCACAATGTTTCCGTAGCATATTATCCATTCATACTGAAACTGGAAATATTTGGACTCATTTAATTGGTGCGTTTCCGAACCATTTGTTGAAAACGTTTGTAGCTGGAGAATTTTTGTTTCATTATTATATGGAGTGGTTCTTATAAATGCAAAAAGAAAATGGATAGAAAGTACTGGTTGGAAAGGAATTACAGAGGTAATATATATTTGTGTGAGAAGCTTTTAAAAAAAATTCCAGTTTAAAAAAAAAGTGCTGTAACAGGAGAATTAGTTACGTGGAATCGATTAAGACTTTGGTTATGCTTTTCACACAAATATATATATATATATATATATATATATTTTACCGGGTGATCTGTTCGGTTCGCTGTAATCTAATAAAAATTTTGTAGGCTGTCTAGCATTTGCACTGTTGGCTGCTTGGTTTATGACACGGCCAGATACCGACATTCGTTTCCAGGAGAAAGTTGTGTTCTCCTTTTTTTTTGCTGGAGCAATTATTTGCCTTGGTATGTCATTCACCTTCCATACAGTTAGCTGTCATTCAGTTGCTGTGGTCCGGATTTTCTGCAAGTATGTCCTCAACATTACATTTTTTAAGTTTATTAATTTCAATATCAACATTAAAAAATCTTTCACTAGTAGGACGAATTGTTACGCGATACCAAATACTTATTACAGATTAGATTATTTGGGTATATCATTGTTGATTATTGGATCATTCGTTCCTTGGCTATATTATGGTTTTTATTGTCGGCGTGAGCCAAAAATAACTTATATCGCGATGGTCTGTGTTTTGGGTTTGGGTGCCGTGATTGTTTCATTGTGGGACAAATTTAGCGAGTCAAGATATCGACCTCTCAGAGCTGGCGTTTTTCTGGCAATGGGATGTAGTGGTAATATGTAGTTTAACTTTGAATATTTCCTGCAGCTTCAGGAAGATCAGGGCAACTTTGCATATATTGACATCATTTCCTAGCCTGATGTGACTACTTCCTATTCTATTATTTTGGTTTAATTACAATTTCTTTTTCCTCTTTATAAATTATTCATACTTCGAAAAAGTGCACCTCTTTACTTACATTCAGACATCCTTTATTTGTAATACTGAAAAGTAAGCTATCCCTGTAATTCGGCACTCTTCAAACAGTAATGGAAATATAACCGAACTGTCGATCCTTCATAATATAGTTTATTTCAGGAGTAGTACCAACAATTCATTTCATGATCACAGATGGTGTGCGTACATTGTTCGAAGATGCAGCGTTTCACTGGCTCTTATTAATGGCCTCATTATATATTTTTGGCACTTTGTTGTATGCTACGCGTATTCCGGAACGCTTCTTTCCTGGAAAATGTGATATTCTGGCATGTTTTTCTAGCATAATAAATCAAATTGTATTATTTAATATTGTAATTGGAAATCATTTACTTTTCTCCGTTAGGATAGAGTGAGTTAAAACATTAGAAGACCATTTAGCTCTGATTTTCAGTTCCAGTCTCATCAACTCTTTCACATATGTGTCGTTATTGCTGCGTTTGTTCACTACTATGGGATTTCTGAAATGGCAATGCATCGAATAAGGGCTTCTTGCCCGATGGACAACGATGCTGTACGAGCATTTCACCATATTGTAGAAGGTGTGAAGAAAGCGGTGCATGATGCATTGTAAAGAGATACGAGCAACGGTGTAGTTAGGAATCGTAAACGAACTTCTTTACGTTCACAATATTAAAAAGTCTTGTATTTTTAACTTCAGCATATCTGTCAAAAATTTTCAATTTATATTAAGAGAATTTGGAAGTGACGTGATACAAATGATTTTTGATTCTTATTATTTTCTAAGTTTACTATTGATACCCTTGCCTTCCCACTTACTGTTTGCTCCAGACATTTTATTGTGATATGTCACAGAATCAGTTACTGTTTTTTTTTTTTTCTTTTGAGAGTAGAAATTGCTCCCTTAAAGAAACTGAAATTTAAAGAGAAGTGGTTATCATTCGTCATTAATAATCATTTTTTCACTTTGCCGACCATTTACCTATGAACGATTCATAGTACCCATATTCTGTTGCTTTTGAATTAAGTGCTCATTTATATTTCATTATGGTTTTAGCGCCTATTTAACTGTCCAGCAGACAGTTTTTTTTTTTTTTTTTTTGCTTAGGATTTACTGATTAGATTGGTTTTGCTTACATGCAGAAAGCCTACTAAATAATAGAAATATATCTTGTTGTTTGTAAAGTCAAAAGATTGTACTAATTTGCATTATTATTTGTATGATGTTCCTTTGTTCTTGTTTCAGCAAACTTCATGTACACGGATAAACAGTTTCTCTTTCTACAAAATGATAAATTGTATGGTAACTGTGTTGGATTCGTCCTTAAAATTGTTTTGAAACGAATACAAAATGGGGAAGCAAAGTAGTGTGATACATAATTTCAGGATATTTTTCTCTTAATCCCATAAAACTGTGAGTTACGCTACATTCATTTCTTACCTATTTACATTGTTTGGTGCTTGCTTCCAACTGAATTTTGATGAGTAAAATGTATAATTTGACTTCATACAATTTCGTAAATAATATATGTGTATATTCGTGCCTACAAGTGCTGTATTTACGTACGCTCTTTCATTCCAGTTGATAATGTATAGCTATAAGGGCGAAGTTTTGCATATGACTTAGATGATTGATGATCTGGTAGATTTGATACTTTGCGATTTAGCTCTGCTTTATCTGGTGCTTCGTCTGATATAGAAATAGTGCCTTACCGTTTCTTTCATGCAGGCCTGCATGGAGAGGAAAAAAGAAATCTCGTCAACGGGTCAAATAACTCGTGTTGATGTTAAGTTTGCTTATTTAACGAATGATAAGTATGGAAGTGTGTTCGTCCCACCGTGTTCAGCCCTTCCGAGAAATTGCCACAGTGCTGATTTGACCCTTTTTTATAAGGCTGGTGACATCGTTCATTTCACAGCAATACCACAGCAAGGCAAGAACGAATGCCAGTGGCTAGCCACAAAGGTACTTCCAAAATTTTCTTTCGGGTTTGCTGAAATTTATTTTTTAGTGCTTTAGTTGGAGTGGTTGCTTTTAGGCCTGTTATTAATAGTTTTTGATAACCAGCAAAACTACTGTAACTTCATGTTGGATCATGAGTAGAGGTTTTAATTCAGGTAACACCGTCAGCAAAGAATGACTTGTATCAGGCGCCGTGTCGTCAGATCAGCACTTTCCAACAGGTATCTCACTTAAATTGAAAACAGTACCTTTAAGGATTGAATTCATTTTATCGAGAATGCATCAGCAATATCATTTAAAGATTAATATAGTTGGAAGTTCTAGTTCTCAAATGTTTTATCGCGTATGTAATCGCGAGATTTACAACTAAGATGTTATGAACCAAATGAGTTGTTTTTTTATCGGAGAAAAAAGTATTTCAGGTTGTCACAATCACATTAGTAACCGAAACGTATGCATATGCCTGCAATGGTGAACTAGGTATGGTTTTCATTCCTGGTGCAGCTTTTCAACAATCCGAGGTAATAAAATTGGATAGTTATTTGGCTGTTGGTGACAACATCATAGTTCGTATTCGTTCACAAGCGCCTAGATGTGGTTGCAATTGGATTGCTGAATATGCCAGCAAAATTACCGCTTTAAATGCTGCTGCGTCTTCTGTACTGAGTGTTGTCGGTAATGAAAGTTCCTCTATTGATCATATAGAACGAGGTATTTTAATTGATGTCTTCTTATGTGCTTAGTCATTATACCATTTAAGTTCTCATAGAAATAAGCTCTGTAGAGCCTGTAGAGATTTTTTTAAAGGACTGACAAATCTGTTATGCTGGCTGAGCATTTAAAAATATTTGGTTCTCTAGTTTAATAATGTAAATATAATAACAGTGCGTTTTACCTTAAATTACGGGATTGCTCACTTTCATATTTCTGTCCTCTTAGAAATTATGAGGTAGGAAATACAATACACTTGGTGACCATTTTGATAAAAAGATAATGGTTACTTTTCTCTTATAAAGCTTTGTAACATTGCATATCATTTGAAAAATGTTCCGATTCACCTTATCAAGTTTTTTCAGGTAAAGGAATAATTGTTTGGACAGATCATTTAATGGTTTGCGTGATGAACAATCGCAGTGAAAAGGTGATGTGTCCAATTTTAACTTGGATGGGAGGCAACAATGGCAACCTATTTGCCGAAAGCTTAACCGATGTGGTTGAAGTTGGACAAATGGTTCTTTTTTTTATTAGATTGTTATTGTGGTTGGAAATAATATTTTGCATCCCGAAATTTCATAGAAATTGTAATATGCTATGAAACGATGTTCCTAATTTATACTGCTTAAAGAATGTGTCAGATCGTTTTGCACCGTTTTTTCCCCATTTGAGCAAATTTCATTGTTCCTCATTTTGATCAAGCGAAGGATTTAGTGTTACACTAAAAACTGAAATTGTATGATCCAACTTAGTGTTTGATGTCTCAATTATTCTACGAAAAACATAATTCGGTTGTTCATCATCATTGCAAGAGATTTTTCCAAGGAAGCGTTTGCAGGTCTTTTACGAAGCTGTGTTTAGTAATATTGGACTGAGGGCAAAATGGTGGTCTACAAAATTTCCAAGGAAAAATTTTGCGGATTCATATACGCAAACAGCGCTCACCGTGGAGCAGATGATTATTCGCTCTATAGAACCTGATATCCTTCAACATTTACAAATGAAAATTCCGAATATAATTAAGCTTGCTAAAAATTTATAGTTCATTAGGATTTTTGAAGTTTTTCTGTAGTTAGGCATATGATTCTGTTACTTACGATATCTTTTTTAATGGCTATAGTTAATCTTAAAGGATATTCGTAAATAGAATAAGTAATGTAAGTGGATATGATAGGAACAATTCTGTGATCCAGATCTCTTCTACTATTAAATTAAGTCTTATATATTTTAATCGCATCTGTTTTTTTCACTTGCTCATGAAGAGCACAGACAAACTTCTCATCCAAATGTATTTTCTAATTGGATTCTCATAAATTTCTCTTTGACTAAGGTTTCTTTCATGTGTCATATAGTCAGACTCGACATATGATTCTACTGTATTTCTGAACTCTTAATTCCTAATATACTTTCATAATGCGGTAATCGCTTTTTGATAGTGTTTACGCTTTATGTTCTATCATTAAAATGAAATGAACTGTAATACAGCAATATATGAAAGGATGTAGAACCCTTTTGTAAGAATGCCTATGGTATTAACTGCCAAGTATTTTTACAATTATAACTATTTTTATGGGAAAAAGTTTTATCTGATTATATCTCTTTTTTAATGCTTAAATTACTGGTTTTCTTTTTATTGTCTTTGATGGTATGATCTGTTTTATTTTGTTCCTCACAGAAGGTGCGATCTTTGATGTTTTTACTGTTTCTGGTTAGTGGTTCTATTTGCACATCATTTGTGAAAAGGACTATAATGTTTGGTTCTAGATATTTTTACAATCATAAATATGTATTTTTGCTTGGCTGTTCATCGGGGTTAAAATATGTATCAAGCTGTAACAATTTTTTCAAAGGACTTTTGCCTGCGCCTTTTTCGGTGTTTGCAGGTTTTGAACGATTGTAGAAGTTTTAACGTTTTTAATACCAGGAAGCAATTTTGGGGAATCAACGTGAGCAGTTATTTTGTTATTTGTGTCATCTGGTTTTTGGTCGTTGTCCGACGTCGGATTTTATGAAGACTCTGGGGATATAGTAAGTTTTCAGTTTATGCACTTTTTTGTGGAAATGGAGGTTGCAGATTTTTTATTTAAACGCAGATTTTTTTTATCTTGATCCAGCTAAAGAATTATGCTTTTCTCGTAATAAGAGTGGAAATGTCAGGATTTCCGCACGAAAATAAGCATGAAGTTATACCGTGATGATTGTTCGTCGGCTCTTTGTCGTCTGGATGGATGGACTTGTGTGTTTGCTCGGATCATATCGGCTGAACCTCTGGAAGTAGAAGATGGGACAGGTCGGCTTTTATTAAACAGAATTGCTGAAGATGTATCTACTGAGGATGTTCACTCCGATGATTATTGCTATCTACTGCTAGATACCACTGTTCGACCGATTCGATGCATCCGTATCACTGTTGTACCAGTTGAAATTGCGCCGCTTGCTCACTACCAGCTGAAGCTTGTTCGTGATTTGGAAGAAAAGCAGTTTAGTTTGCCACTGTAGTTAATCACATGTGTTGTCCCCTTTTGTTTATATTACGTACTTTTTGGAATCGTGATATATGTTCTTGCATGCGAAAAAATGTGAATAAATCTTATATAGAATTTTCACTCTTCAGATTATGTTTTTAATTTATGGTCTTGGAGATGTTTTCTGCTAAGTGCAAATCTGGATATGCATTGTTTGAGTAGTGGTGTTTTGAATGAACTAAAGTCAGAAGATATGGATTTTCATTTTGTTAGACTGCATTGGTTTAGTTCCTTCACTTCTGAAGCAACAAAGGAGTGTGCGACTGTCGCATTCCCGAATCCATGGTGCAAGGTTTTCAGCTCCGAAAGAATTGAACCTTTCCTGTTTTTAAGAATTCGAGCATGGAACTATCCACGGAAATTGTGCTGCTAATTAGTTTGATCGTTCCTTCGTTGAAAACATTCACAAAACTAAAAACATTGCTAACAGGAGGTTGTTTCGTTCATCTGTTTACGACTTTTTAAATTCGTAAGTGTGGGTCCTCGACTTTTAGAGCAAAGTAAGCCAAACTTTGAGTTTAAATTGAAGTTCTTGTCCCATGACATTTGCGAAAGGTTCTATTGCAAAAGTATCTCCTGAAATGAAACAAACTGCATCCAACTAAAGAAGTGGATTTGCATCTGAAGCTACTTTTATTTTTACAGAAGAATAGCTGCAACTGTCAAATTTAAAGCACCATTTTCGACTTCGTCGATAATATGAGAAGACCGTTGTGCGCCTACTTAGTGAAGGCAATCAAATAATCATACAAAATTAATATTAGTCAAATAATTCCATACAATCTTTATGGCTCTGGATATTTTACATATGATATTAGTGCAATTCGGAATCGAACTCAGTAGGTGAGGGGTTTATTTCACGTTGTAAACATACCAATATAACCGTGATTTTTCGAGTTGAAATCAGTAATAATCTTTTGCAGCTAATTCTGGGAAGTGCTAAAGACTCATCTGATTCTAGTCATTTTTTATTTATTCTATTACTCACTAAATACATATTTTCTTCTCAACGATTTTATCTCGAATTGCATACTTCTCCACGGCTATTCTAAAGAGACCACTGTTATACTGCATTAAAACTGTCACTTATAAAATATGGATAGTTGTTTAAAAATAAAAGTAACTCAGTTATGAACCTCCTTTCCCAACTTTTAGATGAAGTTTGTTTCAATTCAGGATCCCCTTTGCAATGAAACTTTAGCAGATATCACGGAATAAGAACTTCAATTTATACTTTGCTCCAAAATCGAAGATCCACCTTGCAAATTTAAAAAGCCGTATGTAAATATTTTCAATGAAGAGACAGATTAAATTAGAAGCACAGAAATTGCAACAATGTTCAAATTCTGTGGAATCGGCTAATTTGTCTTTTTCTACGTTGACGATTTCATGCTGTTCTTAGTTTTGATCTGATCGAGAGCAGAAGAGCAGTGAGTGGTAGATTTTAAATCCAAATAATCACTTCAAATCTTTCGGTTGCATTTCGGAAGTTTTAAATGATTAATAAAAAAAAGAAAACAAAAACGTAGTTTTATTCCTTCATCCTTCTCTTATATTTTATTTAGGAATAGTTAACTTCTTTCATAGCTTCAAATGCTTTCATTCTTAAATCATTTTATCAGCTCACATAAACTTATATTCTATGTAATACATTTAATTTTAATAATACAAATACTAACAATTTTTGAAAACTACTACCAAAATGGCTCTACTTCAGCGACAAAAATAAAGAGATCAAATGTTTTAAATACAGTATTTAATCTCCTTTTTAATTTCACTTTCCTAAGAAGAAATTGATGAAAATGCAGAAGAAAAAAAGTGTTCAAAATAAATGAGTACCAATATTCATCAAGAATACATTTTCCCATTTAATACGAGTAGGGAGTATGCGACTGTGAAAACGATGAATGCGGTTTACTTGTCGTGCCTTATTCAAAAGTTCCTTACAAATCCAGCCATTGCAGTCACGTATGAACATTGTTATTGGGATATGATCCGACATCTTATCACTCAGCTTTCGAATCAGACCACTGGAAAATTTATCACTAAGCTTTCTAGAAATCAACTTTAGAAGCTCCTTAAAGACTCTTGCTCCTTACATAGCTATTTCGGGAGTATCAGCATAACACTGAAGAATACTGTTGTTGACGGCAATCCCATAACCAACTGGTTGTGTTTCAATGGCTACCACACCTGACACCTGTAATTCGCTTGCATCGTGGATTTAAATAATTTACACAACAGAAGCAATGATGTAACGATCTACACGGCTATATAGGTTGAAAATCAAATTCGCTCATTTCCATTTTTCAGTAAAATAGAACTGAAGATTCAAAAATAACATACTCCGTTTATATGGTACAAGGATCCCAGATAATCACGTCGATCCATGAAAGTAACGACGGAATCATACTCAAAGAAATGAAACTCATTTTCAGAATTTAGTTCCATATACGCCACTTTTTCACTTCTTGTCTGCTTATTTGTAATAATTGTTTGTAAGCTGGATCTATCATGAAATAATTTAAAAATAAGAAAATAAGAATTAAGAGAAAAAAAAAGTTTTGAAAAATCAAAGTGCCCTGAAATGTATTCACTTTTACCCTTCTTTCGAAATAAAAAAAAAAAAATTTACTTTTCAATAGCGATTTGGAAATAACGTGCTTTATCAGCAACCATAAATCCCATCAAATCTCTATAGAGCTGACGAGTTTTCTCAGTACTGAAACAAGTATAACTGTGCAAAAGCAAATAATGCTATAACTTATAAATGAAATGTAATAGATCTGTTACAATTTCCAAGCAAAGGTTTATCATTTAAGTTTAGTTAAAAATTATTTCAGTCCTTTCTGTCATATTTAAAGCTCTTTCGGCTTTTATGTGACTCGTGTTGATGAAATAATCAAACGAACAAGTCAGTGTCGTACAAATCGACAGTGATATTTTTGCACACATCCATGTTGCGTGTTTTTAACGTGATATTGACTAGCTGTTCATAAACATGAACAAGTAAATGTTGTTGTTGGCGATCTTCAAATGCGCTATAATATATCGGCAATCTTGAATAGTCAATATCTTTATTCCACACACCGCTGATCTGTAAAATTTTTTTTAAGGATTCTAAAAAATGGTCAAATGTCTTTGGCAACATCAGTCGTCTACCTCATAGTTCGATCAAAAAACTGGGACGCCGATCTACATCCTGAATGTAGTTGTTACCAACAACACAAAACATATTACATTCGGTTTCAGTCATTCTCAAAAATGCCATAGGACTTACATTATTATTTATTTGACGATGGTACCAAAAATAGTGTAAGAACATGAACAGAAAGAAAACGCACTTTCATGCAACGCTGATGACATTTATCGATCTTAAAACAATATTTGTCTTGTCCACATTCTTCAACAGTCACTGATTTCATTGCATATTTCAAATCGCATTTACAGAACATAAGATAAGCCTGTAAGTTTTACATTTATATTTTCTGCACGGGTTGAAAGAATCTAAATGAACAATATTTTACATAATATTGTTAGAAATACTGACATAGAAACACTGAAAAAGCGAGAACCCACTCTCAGTGGACGACATATTAATTAAAAATTCAGTTTTAAATATAACAATAAAAAAAGTTAAGCTAGTAGATAGTCTTAATCAAATCAAATTTTCCAATTCAGAAAACATTCCCCAATATCAGATTTCAAAGAAATGATGTAACTTCGGTTGAAGAAACACACCAGTACATTGAGCACACTTTGCAGAGATGTTTTTAAAACCTATCAATACACCTTCTTAAATTGGGGTGACAATCTCAAAATTTACCTGGTTGTTCGCGCATAAATGCATAGCACCAGATGCCACAACAGTAGGCAAATTTGTCTCTAATTTGTCCAGAATAGTTACCGTTACCACGTTTTTTGTATCTATGAATGTTACATTATTGTTGTCTGGTACAAAATAATCGCAGAGTAGGTTATGTGAAGGTCCAGCGCGTTGCACAAACTGATAGAATGATTCAGTTTCGACCATTTTAAAATCTGAGATACCAGTGATGTAGAATCATTTTTGGGCATGTGAAACCGTACATATGAAATGCCTAAAAATATTGAGGAAGGGAGGATAATTACAAAAAACCCCTTGCTCTACTGCTATAGACATATTTAAATATTTGCTACACTCTTAATCTTTTACTTTATTTTATTAATGAATCATCGAACCAAAAACTGAGTCATTGCCTCCAATATAAGATCAGTAATTCCTTCGACAAGAAGTGATTGGTCTAGATTATTTGAACAATCGAAAATCCAATCATTTTTTCCACATGTGGTTTGGAGCTTGCATTCGTAGCAACGAGCATAACAATGTTAATTTTGAAACACAAAAGTAGTAAAGGGAGAATTTTACAATCTTTTAAGAACAAAACGCAGACAAATAGCCTAAACATAAACATAGCATTAGGTGAAACAATGGGCAATGATCTCTAGAACACGCAAATTTTTGTATTTACACATTACTTAAACGAATGTTGGAATTCACTTCTTGAAGGAATAGGTGAAAATGTGAGTGAGTGAGTGAGTGAGTGAGAGACAGAGGAATGAAAGAGGGATGACATTCAGTTTTTCAAGATTCAAAAGTGGGTGAAGGCATGGTGATCAATTAGGGGATACATCTCGGATAAACTTTTGCTCAGTCATCGAAGAACAATCTTCCTTCCAGTAAACTTATTTCTAAGTGTAACTGTAAATGAATAGTTGCAAAAAATTTCCGATATAATTTCAATAGATGATTGTTCGGTAAAGAATTATTTTGTTAATGACTTCTGTTAGAAAACATTGAGATGTGAATAAATAAATATATAACGCGAAAAATGTAAATTGATTATAAAATAAAATTAACGTAGTGAAGCGTAAGCTATTGAGACATATTTATGGCGAAGATGATAAAGAGTGGCGCAAATCATCCGCAAGAGATTCAGAGATGTTATAGCAAAAAGATGTAGACCTAATGATTATATCTATATCAAACAAAAAGCAAGTGAGACAACAGCAAGAAGGATCACATTCAAACTGAATCAGCCTCCAAAAGAGAGGGCGTTGCTATTATCTCCATTGAGCGGTAATTTATATGAGAATCGTGTTCTCCATAAAATTTCTCCTCCTCATCCTAACTCTTTACTTTCTTTCTTTTTCCATAGGTAAGAATAGAACTTTTTTGGACTGAGGTCATTCAAAATTACCAAACAACTTACTCATATCATCTGCACTACTGCGCTATTTCGTATCCTAGGAAAGGCGGTTTCCTTCATCGACACTCAGCATAATTATATGCATTCTTTTTCCAGTACTTCCCTTATTTCTTATCAAAATATTTCTGAATGCTTACTCGTCGATTTCTTACTGTTAGTTATAATCATCACACAATTAAGAAATAAATTTTACATTTTATCGACTTTCTCGCGATAACAGCATCGGAACATTTTTTCGAATTTGTAAGCACACGATGCAGGGAATAAATAATGTCACCAAAGAATAGATCAATAGTAAAATACCAAATCAATCTCAAATAGTAGTGAAATGTGCGAGGAGCTTTGAATATTAGGATGGGAAGGTTAAAAAAACATAGTAAAGGAGTTGCAAATATGTAATAAATCTCAATTGGATCTTAGGGAAGAAAAAAGTGAAAAAAAATAATAATGCGAAAAAATTGGAAGATTAAGAGAAATTTGTTTGTAACTGCAAGGATTATGTTAAACTTGATCACTAATGAACACCGATCATCTTATAAGTTGAGGAAATGTTTTAAAAAAATTTTCTAGGATGAAATCTGAAAATATACATGCTCTTCCTCAATGTTTCATCGATCGTAGGTGAATGGAATGAAAAGGGCCATCTGATTGTCAGCATGATAACATTATGGTAAAATTCTCGATCTTATCGTCTCCATAGTTGCTGTAGAGATGTTATGCCGAGATGTTCTCATGATAACAGTTTCATTTCCCATATACTTGCTCATTATTCCTTAACCTGGAACTCCGCTCCACTACTATGACATTCCTCTTTTCCTTCTGCTACATCCTAATATTTATAACCTTTGTAAGAAAGGTTTAGCAATACATAGAAAATAAAAATTTAACAAAATTTAAAAACTTCAAATTCATAATAATGTAATATTTAGTTAAAATATTTCCGCTCAGCTAAACAAACTGCACCTTACAATGGTACAGTAGCAACTCCTTTGCGTTCAAAATGCACTTATTAATGTATAAGCGCTTTTAGCAATCAAGTAGAGAATCTAAAATGTTAAAGTTGATTTTTGCAGGTTTTGAGCATTCGAAGAAAATTTGAAATCGCTAATAAAAGAAAGTTTCAAACAAAAAAGTTTTCTGTGATGTATTTTATATTCTTGACCTTTCTTAAGTCACTTTTCGATAATCTTTTTTATGACTTACAATGTTTGCTAAGGCTATTATCGACAGAAAAAAAAAACGATAACGATATGGAAAAACAGAAAATAAAGTTAATAAGATAATTATTACTAGTTGTTTTGTTGGATCGATCAATATGGAAGCATTCGGCTGACAACGAATTATTAAATTCACATAATAAATGTTAACCCACAGTTGAAGTAAACATATATAGTAGTGATAGACGAATTAAGTTCAAAAATTCCACCATCAGATTGTGTTAGACGAAATCAGGTGATTAGTTTCAGGGACACTCATTTGAATTATCAATTGACCTTTATTTGCCTTTCAAGATTGAAGGAGTTTTTGTGACAAATATGTAAAACTAAATAAGACAGGTCTCAAATGAAAACGAAATATTCCATATGATTCAATACACTCTTAACTTTTTTACAATTTGTGTCTGTTTACTGATGATAAGTGATATAAAATCATTGTGTTGAACATGATGGTTTCGTGACAGAAGCTTCTTAAGAACAGTGATTTTTAAGTTTGAGTAAAAATGTAATCTGGATTCTAGCAAATTAAGCAACTTTAGAACTTCTTAGGCGTTGTTCACATTAGTAATTCGTCAGATTACGATTTAATCGTATCAGTAACTATTTTACTCTACTGATCGTTGTTTTGAAATGTGTTCTGACTTCTACTGATCACTATTTTGAGATGCTTTAAACTCCAAACAATGGTGGGTAAAACCAGTAACTGCGGCGTAAGAACTGAAGAATTCAACTTGCACTTACAAACTTACTCTTACAAATTTTCGATTTCGTGTTCTGACGTCATCTGATATTACTGTTTGAAAATCTTCTCTTTACATTATCTTCCTGACAACACTCATCTGCCACTATGGTTTACATGCTGAAAGTAATAGCTTCTATAATGAATGTTTAGTTTTATAGAATTTGAATAACTGCCAGTTATTTCTTTGCACTGTAATGTCGTAAATACATATTAATAATTCATTTCTCAAATCAGAATGCTGAACAGAGTTGAATAATTCAGAATGTAGAATTTGAGAATTATAGAATAATAACATACAAATTGCATGTATGGTTTCAAGATTCACTTCATGGAATATAACATAAATTTAATTTAATTTATGGCTTTTTTCCATGGTTTTTTTTTCAATACGAGTCTTTAGTGAAATTGTTTCTTTCTGATCTATGAAGCACTTACATCTGCTTTTACTTGTTTTACGAAAATACCACATGATCTACAATAAAAATTTGATATATGCACCAAAGACATCAGAGATGGAGAATGTTCAATGAATGTTGTTTTATCAGTATTTGTGGCAAATGACATTGAGATAGTTATCAGTACCACAGAAGTACATGAAACTGAAGATAGCATAATGCTAACGATGACACTCAGACAGTTTATCAGTGATATTTTTTTTTTCTCTTGCAATTGATTGGCAATGAAAGAGTTTTTAAGAATCGCCTACACATTATTTTATTGATTTCAATGGAAAACAATACAGGAATTCGGAAACTGCTTTCATCATCTGTTATAACCTTCTAAAATATTCATAAAAATCATTTTAAAAAAGAAAGAATTTTCTTATTTTCTTTAGAAAATAATTTGGAGTGGTCGTGCCAACAAGATCAGAATATTTTAGCGAACTTCATGAAACATTTAGTACATCAGAGGCAATTTAGTTTAGCTTTGGGTTTTTAAAAATGTTGTATTCGCACGAATATATACTACTTTCTCTTCGGGTTCTAAGATATCTTCTTATCTCAAGATTCTTCCTATATCACTGATACTGTCACATACAGAAAGCAAATCTGAACAAAGCAGTGTGCAGTTAATAACATATCAATAGCGACAAACTATTACCTGAAATCTCTGACATATTAATTACATTTGGTTTAGAATTTTTAAGCTGAAAAATATCCGAACAAAATCAACTTCACTTCTTTCTTAATCGTTGAGTCCTAATGCGAATTTGAATCATTTTAAATCAGTCTTCATAAATTACCTCGTGACTTTAAAAACACCTTTGACGGTTTTGATATGAATTAATCCGAAGTAGAAGGTATCGAATGAAAAATTTCTCAACTTATTTAGTTCAAGGTTCTCATTTCTTGTTTTTAGCTGGCGTTTTGCAAAATTCATTGTGTTCAGTTTCTGATATTCAGAATAATACGGCATTCACACGTAATGGAATGATTTATTATCAAACTTTCGATTTTTGAAAATACTACTAGAAAGGGATAAGTGTTAGATGTATGCTGATTTCCAAGAATAAAATCGAGTCTAGTAGTTTAACGACTTAAATAACTTCTGCTTTTATTAAATTTCATCTGCATTACCTATTGATGAATTATTTCCTTTGTATAACCATTAATATTACTAATAACTTGATCAGGACTGAAATTTAACTTGAATCGCTGCACCAGCAGCTTCTAATTAATTTTCTTTTTGTTACCACTATTAATATTATTACTGCCATTTTAGTACTTATAATTTATGGCTTTTATTAGAGTTTTCATCGTTAACATAACTGCACTATGCAGCGTTCATTCTCAGCAGAAAACCTGCATAACACAGTTTTGGTCGGTTTTCTGTTGAAGAAAGTCCAATATTTCTAAAAGTAATTTTAATTTTTTGGAAGTTTGTCTCTTGATTTTGCGAGTTTTTTCCGTACTTCATTAATTTAACCAATGCTAGTTTTCTCATTTTATTCTCTTTATTTCAACCAAAAATAATTAAGACATAATAAGTACTTTGGATTTCACTTCATCAGTGTTCAGTATTTCAACCTATTTGTTTGTCTAACATTTCTAGAATTTACTTTATTTCTATTTGCTCCTTCTTCCCATTCAAATATGTCCTTTGCTTAGATCCCTGCATTAAGAAACATGAATTACATATCATTTAGTATCAATTAATTCGTATCAGTTATATATCATTCAGCTTCAATTCAACAAAGTCAGTTTGTTCTGTGTGCTATAATATCTCTTTTTTCTCGATATAATGTTTTACAAGCCGGCTTTACAATAAAACTCACAAGTTTGAATCACTAAAGCTCAATTAGATTTTAATGATTAGATAGGAGGAAAAAATCATTGATAAAAACTTGAAATTTGTCTTGACAAACTTTATCTCACAACTTCGTATATTTTTCTCTTGAAAAAAAAATTCGGATTTTTGATTTAAGGAAAGAAGGTTTAGTAGTATTCCAGTCAAATGACAGAATGAATAGCCATGTCGTCGTTATCACTATTTCTAACCGTCTGTAGTATTAAATGAGATCATATGCTGCTCGGGATCCTTTTTTGAACAATTTAGTAAAGTAGTAGTCGTTTAAATGAAAGATTTTTGACGATTTCTCTGTTCAACTGGATGCGCATGTGCCTATTTATGTTGTGGATGTAATGACAGAATCAGTTCGGAAAAACTGTGTGGAATGCGCATTACTGTTTGCACATCATTTCACCTTTCTAATGAATGCCCTATATTCGGAATGTTTGGATACGGCATAGAAACAATACAAAGATCGAACATTACAATGCATGCTCGGTGCACCTTTCTTTTACTGACAGGTAAAAGAAACGTTGAATATACTTCCTGTTTCTTTTTGAAGAAAGTGATTATACTCCATCAGCTTTACTGATTTTAAATTCGTCAGTATTTATATGTCCTTTGAAAGTTTATCTCGTATCCATCACTTCAGCATGATCTGTCCATTGGTAATAATATCAAGTAAGATTATAAAACTGTCGAAATACTCCCTAACTTTAAAGTGCTTTAAAAGCTTTTAATGATTTACTTTCAATCATTTCAATTCTGAGTTTGAAAGCATTTGCTCTGATTTTTATGGGAAGGGATAGGATAATATTTATCCATTGTGTAAATTACCTCTTCCACAAAAATTTAAGAAAAATATTCCTTCCACTGTAATTTATGTTTTTTATGTCAGTGAAATGCAATGATTTTGTGAGTAATAATTCAAAAAAAAAAAAAAAAAATTTAGCCTTTACATTGGTCACAAATAATGTTTTGGAAAGACGAATCATAGCACCATGTCCCACTGGTTCTAGGCCGATGTTTCGTCCCGATGGACAACCACGCAAATGTCTTCCTCATCAAAACAGCCTTTGCGTAAACGCATTACCGGATCAGGTTAAATTATAATTTTATGCTATCTTTAAAGATGTGTAGAAATTCCCAAAACTACTATTGTATTTTGTAGCCTGATGCAGCAACGGTATGCTGTTGGCACAATCAGGTGGATTACTTCTGTTGCTTGGATGTAACACCATTGGATTGCCCTGATTATCACAATGTTACCGTGGTTGTTCACAACGCATATCCACAGAATCCATTCGCGCTGCGTTCATTTCATTTTAGGTACGCTTAATTTCAAATAATATATTCGTCTAATTCACCGTTAGAGTCTGTTCAAGGGTATTCTGATTATTCATCTTATGCACAAGAAGACCTTTCCAAATATTAATTACTTTCACCACTTTTCTGCAGTAAATTGGTGAAAAGTTTCGTAATGTACGCATTTGAAAGGAATTAGTTCGATTTTTCAATGAAGAATGATATGCTTAAATTATAACCTCTTAAAGCAATTGAAAATAAATTTTTTTGAAAGCTATAACAAGAAATATTTAGCAGTTGGAGTATTTGCATTCAATTTTTGGTTACTGAAAATAAACAATTTCCAGTTAATTCTTTTCTCTCTATTTACCGATAGTAGTTATCTTTTCTTAGTAATGGTGGCCCGATACTTCCGTAAACTATATTTGTTCTTTTTTAAATGACTGATTAACACTTGAAAGTTTAAAGTGATGCCAGAGTAGCTAACACTAAACTTGAATATAGAGGAGAACTATCTGTATTTTCGACTGGTTTGAAAACAGGTCATCATTACTTATGTTCAACGAAAGTAGATCAAGCAAACCCTTTTTTTTTGTTGTTGTCTAGGCGTTGCAATTGGAGGATGGAGAGAAGGAGCATAAAATCCCCCACAGTATGAACAACAAAAAATATTCTGTAATCTGCTCTGATCAATATATTGTGATGTTTGCTTGGGAAATGTTATCCAAAGAATCACAGAAAGTGCTTCCAATCTTTTGGGTATGTAGACTATAGTTGTTGTAATAAGCTATGCCTTTAGCAAATGGATACGGAAAAGTAGATTAGTTTGGTATACGAAGTCTGCAACTTACCTTGAGAAAAATGGAGAAAGTTGTGAATTGTAAAAGCAAGCCAAATAATGCAGAATTTAAGAAAATTTAGAACAGCTATGCTGAAAAATCGAAAATCATAAGTACCGAATTCAAACTGATTTGCAAAAAGAAGAGGAAATCCATCTGAATTTGTTCAATAATAATAAGGGACAAGTATCGCAATTTTGACGAGAAACATTAAGAAACATTATGCATGGACATATAACACTAAACAGCAAAAACACTGATTTGGCATAACATATAGTTGAAAGCGGAGTTCAAATGGAGTTACTGTCAGCCATAATAAAAATAAGCACTTCATCGAGGAACTGTTTTCACTAAACCTATATGAACAGTCGATAAAGTTAATCCATTGATTACCGAATCAAAACTTCAATTTTAATCAGAAGTATAACCGCATATCATTTAGTTTACCTTTAATTTAAAATAGAATTTCGGGTTTGATAATATTTGTGATGATTATGGTAGCTGTGATGTTTTTCAGTCTTACACAAAAACGAAGACCTAGCATGTGAAACATATTCAGAAGCTTCTCTCTAATTTAGCAAGAGTTCACTTCATCTATCTCTTAATTTTGCTTTGATGTTTGAAATTTACAGAGAAGGAATTGAAGATGAAATAGTTGCTATGACACAAGAATTAATACGCGATAACAAAGTACGCAAGGAGAACGGCGTTTTGATTAGGAATATTGCGTAGAATTGATGTGTTAATACCGTTTTCGAGAGTTGTTAATGTAATTCTTGCATCAGTCAATGTTCAATAACGCTTGAATAAAGCTTTTGTAAACACACGAAATGTGGCTGTTCTATAAAAACGTCTTAAAATGGTTTTCACAAATTCTTTCGTGTTTATAATATAGAAAGTTTCGAAACTATTAGCAGTGACTAACGAAAAAGGAAAGAACACATAACTCCAAAAACTGTTCAAAGAAATTTATTTTTGAGTACATCTATCACCTTCAAATTCACTTTACATTATGCAGTGAACAGTATACCTGAAATGAAGAATAACCACAATTTTGTAGTAACTACAACCTTACTACTTTTATGTGGTTTAAATCAGTAGCAAATGGTTGCTTAGATAATTACAGTGTTCTATCATATTCGACTTTCTTCTAAGCTATATTAATTCTCCATATTTTGATGAAAATCCAGTACTTCCAAAAACTACTTACAGATAACTGGTCGCCTCAGCAATATACAAAAAAAGTGGTTCTCAGAGGAATAGCACAATCTCTTTAAGGAATTAACTTCAATTACCTTTATTTTTCCAAAACAAAACGTAGCTTCTCTCTTAAATGTTCCCGACTTCCTTCTTATCTACTAATTAATCAGAACTATAAGTTACTCAATCATGATTTCGAACTTTAGAATAGAGTATTATATTCATTAGATGGGGAAAGGATCTAATAATAACCAAAGAATAGTTTTAATAATGAGGAAAGATAAACAAATTTAATGTCTTTTCTTTATTGGAAAAACTTTTGTACATTACAAATAACTTTTATAATATAAAAAGATATAGTCCCTGAAGTTATATTCGTTTAGAATAACATGATAGCACCGTTAGCTAAGTAATCAGTTTGTTATCACAAACTGCTGATTGTGTCGAAAAACATATGAACTCTGAGTAACAAACAGGCGACGAAAATGTGTCTCGCAGAAAATACTGCCATCTGTTGATCGCTGACAATTTTCCACCCTAAAGGTGTCTGAATCAAGCAAATTTGTAGAAAAAGAGATGAGCAACTTTTTTGCACTTTTTAATTCCATTTAATGCATGTTATGCTTCTAATCAATTTCCAAAATTGGTATCACTCGTTTTCATCAAAATCTTTTTAAAGTAATAAATGAATGGAAGAGAACAATCACTACGGTAAATTTATACGGCAATATATTTCAAAAAATTTTCGAACCATCTTATACTTACTATTGCTGGATCGTTTTCATTACATCTAATAAGTTTTCTACATATATTTATTTTTTAATGAAATCAAACAGCTGATTAAGTGTTTCCAAAATCGAGGCTGAAATTAGAAGAAAAACGATATATTTTCTAAATGACTTTAAATAAGAAAATTTTGAGCTATAAAAAAATTTTTGAAAAATTTTTTTAAACATTAATAACATTAACTTCTTTCCCTACATTTCAAAACTTACTGAGCGAATGGGCATTACAAATTCATAATCGATTCAGTTGCCAAATATACAGAAATTGTAATGAAAGTAGAACTGAATACTTTTCTTGTTAAGAAAATTCTAAGATATCCAAGCGCAAATATCAACCATATTCTTATTCTTAAACTCTATAGATTTTGAGGTACGGAAGTTAAAAATCGGACCCATACACAAATCTTTGTAATTTTAGGAGTCCATAGTTTTCCTTTTTTAGCTTAGCTAGGACATAAATTCAATGTCTTATCTATTACAGTCCAAACCAAAAACAATTCAGAAAAATGCGGAAACGACTTCCGCTAGTAATTTTTAGTTATAACACTGTATTCCAGTAAATACGCTCAGCTTTCTCAGACTTATATAATGTGTTAACTATGAATATAGAACACCGAGTTAAATATGAAGTCCTGAATTCTAAAACGATTCCAAAGCTAAGATTTCGACGAGAAAGTTAAGAAAATCAGAAAAAAAGGTTGAGATTGTACATGTTAGCTAGCCACATTATTTCCAGTTCCACATATCATCTACTTTCATTAAAGTGATATTTGAAATGTTATATAAATTCTGCTGTTATCAGGCGAATTTAATGCATGCCATATATCGCATTCACGTAGTTCTACAGAGTAGTCTGACCGTGATCAAAGCTAATAGAAGCTGACTACCTGTTGATAAAATATGTTTTACATATCCATCCACACAAACGAAACAACTGCGTAATCAATATCTAACTTAAGAACTGAAACCCAAAAAGCAGTTGTGATGTCTCTGATGAACTTCGATATAAAATCTAAATATGTTTCTATCATCATCACAGTTCAAGTGGTAGAACAAAGCCGGTGTGAATAGGAAGAATTTTGGACAGAAATCAATAAAGAACAGGTACTTCAAATGTATCGATTATAATTTCGGAAAATTAAAAAGCTAGAAAATTGATTATTGTTTGAAAAAGAAAAGAAAACATGGATATTAATAATGCGAGTCTCAATGCTCTACAGAATTTTGGTTTGAAATCTTTTAAATTTATTGCTACCTCTTAATTTTTCGGAGGTAAAATTTAATTTTTACCTTAAGTGTAGACCGCATTGTTTACATCGAAAACATCTCAAGTGATATATTTGGGAGAAACACTGCAAACTCTCCGCAAGATACACAGCTTTACCGCAACAATTGCAAAGTGGATAAGATGCCACGCGGGCATTCCAAATCTGAAGTGATGGTAATTTCATGCATCGGTTAAAAGAAGAAGCATGCATTCATTATTTCATATTAATTAAAAGATCAGCATTTCACAATGAAGTGAAAATGTCAGTTTGGAGAATTTATTCGTTTTTATATCATTTCCAATCTCTATAATTTTTTAATGAAAATCACTGGAAACTAAATTCATCAATGTATCTATTAATGACATTATCACCAGCACAGTCATTGGAACGAGCGATGAGCGTGGAATCAAACAGTGCTAAAAAGGTTTAGAGTGTTATTAGTGAAAGGAAATTTTTAGAGGAGATTAAGGTTAAATTAGTTCACACAAATAAATTCAAAGCGCATTTTTTTATTATCTCGAAACTCATAAGTTAAAAGCATGCGAAAAAATTTAATTGTTTCATTTTCATATGCATGAATCGTTCTATTCCAAATATTTTTACTTCATACATAAATAGCAAATGATTAAAACAATTTTTAAATCATAAAAGATGAGTGCACACTGAAACATACGATGTGCTTACTTAACAACGCGCTTCCTCTTCATTTTTTACTTTTCCTGCAAAATTTTTTTCATACTACATCTACTTAAACATTTCAATTAGTTTATTCACTTAATATAAAGTTCAGTACTAAAACTTCAGTTGTACTTTTTGACGAATATTCCTTCTTTTACTATAAAGCATTTCCCAACTACCATGTATATTAAATCGAGAATTTTTTGAAATTTGAACAAAACAGTATATTGCATGTCCCTTCTTTAAATTTAATTCACAAAAAAAAATAATTTAAAAATTATTTTCAAAAATCGGTTCCTATAGCTATAGGCAACAGTTGTAAAATCACTGACTGAAAGTGCTATAAAATGGTTCGTATGACAAACAGAAGGAAGCATTGATAACCGAAACGCCTGCAATATCCGCAGAAGTAATTGTAAAGAATAAAAATAATGTATGCATTTGCGTAAAAATGATTAAACTAACCGTTTGTGTAGCATTTTTTGAAGGCATCCGACTTTTTTCTGCTTTTCTAGCCTCTTTTTTCTGAATTTTTTCCCACTTTGCAGTCATTTTTGAGGCGTGATCAGCAACCACATGAATTTCTTCCTTTTCAACAAATTTCTCTCTGTCGGGGGTTTCTTCATGAATAGCGGCTGCTTCTTCTTTTTCACCTTTAATCCAATTCCACAGTATACTTCTGTATGAGAAAAGTTATAGCCAAAAGCATTTTTCTAGAAGTGCAAAACTGAATTGCTTATAAATAGATTCAGCTGGGAAAAAAGCATAGAAATCAATTTACGCCTCAATCGTTCAAATTCTTCTTCAAGTTGTCTGCGCTTTTCCTCTGCTGTTCCATTTTCAAATTCTGTTCCAGCTTTTTCGAACTGTTCTTTTAAATTACGCGCAGCTATCTAAAAAGCCTTTAACTAAGAAATAAAGATTCAATCACAATTTTTCAAAAGGTACAGAAAGATTTCACATTCGAATACCTTAATTTCATCCAAATCACTCGGTCTTTCATATTTCAACTTTGTTTCCTCTTCTTTACCGATATTTATGAACTTTTGCATAAGATTTTTAACATCATAAGTATCTTCATCTTTTTCATTTTCTGTAACTGATTCCCTTTAGAAAATAAACAATAATTAAAGTAACCATAAAACAATACAGGATAAAGCAATTTTCAAAAAAACAAGAACATTCATCAAAACAAATCAAGCGCTGCATAAAAGAGCGTTTTAATGGATGGAAAGATATATATCTGAAAATCATTTTAACATAATGTTTGCAACTAAATTGAATTTTTCTGTAATTTGAAAGGAAGAAAACAATTATTTGCAACTTTTTTCTTTATTACTAACAAACCTTCGTCTTCGACCACTTTCTTGTTTACTGGTTCTGGGATTGTGCTTTCCTTTTTATTCCATTTGCTTACCTGCTTCCTTTGCTAGAAACACTTGTAAATATAAAAACAGCTTCAAAATATTTTAAGCTTAATTGGAGTCTTTTGATTTAAGCGCTCGGGAATACTTTTAATAATTAAGATGAAATATTTGAATTATTAACGTAATGCTGAATCACTAATCGTACCTGATTTCCTGGAGCAAATGTTTGAACTCCTTCAGCATCGATTTGTTGAAATTTTTGCCTAGCTTTACCAGCCATTTTAATTTCTACATCCAATTGTCTACCTGAAATTTCCAACCTCATTTTCATATTGTAAAACAGTATTGCATAAAAATAACAAATAGTGGTCATTTGTAGCGTCAATAATTACAGAGGACAAACCTTCGTGTTCATTTTTGGAGGAATAATCACC